GCCTGATGGACTTCTGTATATGCAGCCAAGTAACAGGGCATCCTTCCCACTCAATGCCATCTTCAGCCACACTTGCTCCAGAGGACTTGACCCAAATGAGTGCTCAGCTGCGTTTAGTAAGTTGGACACATAGACACATATGCCTCTTCTACCACTAGATCCGAGGTTGGGCTGAGAGAGATTAAAGTTTGTGTACAGGGTGTACCCGGAAATCGATAGGAGAGATGGTGCAATAGGAAGCTTCTGGGCTTTGGGAAGGGCCTCAGTCAACAGCATGATATCTGGCTTATCATCAGAAATGAGCATACATAAATCATCCCTTTTACTAAGGAACTGGTCAGCACTGGCGTACAATATCTTCAGACCTTGCCTACCCCCGCACTGATGAGCATCATGCAGTCATTGCGGACTGGGGGAACCAGCATCAGCCTGAACTTGAGTATGCTGATATGTGGATCCATCCCCAGTGACTGAGGTCGCTGCTCGGGAATGTACGTGAAGTTAGGGATTTGTTTAGCGATTTTTCAGCAACCAGTTTTTTACCTGACACGAAGAAACTTACTTCGAGGCAACCACTTTCATATAGCAAAAGAAGGTATCATTACGATGAAGAGGCGGATGTCATTTGATCAAGGAGTAAGTAGTCAATAATTAGAACGGGCTGTCAAGCGAAGTTGTAGAAGTCCCTCTCTGGCGATATCTAACATCGTTTGGACAAGTGCTATCGGTCTTGACATTTCATCTACAGATAAATTCAGGCATGTCAGATCGTATGATTATCTTCGAGGATGTACGCAAATCTGAGGTAGGCCAGCCTCGGTGGGCCCTTGTGGCCCTTTGTTGGCCAGATGCCTTTATGTATTTTATGTTTAGTTTCGATTTCAATGAAAACGTGTTTGACGGAAAGTCGTGGCACGAGGTCACCGCATCTGACATCTGTTTTCAATATCACATCTATCATCTTCATGGCCAGATGATGGGAAACTCCATAAACCAATCCTCAAAATCGCAGTCAGCCTCCATTATCACTTGAAGTCGGGTATTCTGCGGATGTAATGGTCGCATGTCATTAGCATGTCGGACTCCCACTCATGTGGGAGTGGGCACGTTTTCACGGACACGTGGGGGCTCGGGTTCGAGTCCCTATTGCGCCATGGCTCCTGGGCGCTAACGCACTCGATGTTGCTCCGTGGAAGGGACGTGACAGCTTGTGTCACGTTCTCTTTTTAATAAAAAAATGAGGCATTGCCGCCAAAATTCACCTCTCAAGGTCCCCCTTCCAGATCAAGCTCAATAGAAAATGACGGGGAACTTAACATATCAGCCCAAGCTTTGCAGGCCGATTTCATGTGAATGAAATCGCCTATTCGATGTGAATCGATGCTCTGTTATGTAGACCACAGGCGGTGACAGGCAAGTTAGGTCAGCAGTGGCGACATGGATTTTAAGCTGGGGGAGCAGGATTTTCAATGGCTTTCTGGACAAAATGTGTCTCTCTATGTTACGCACGGCTTTTCTGATTAATACCGCTAGTAAGGTTTTTTTCTTGCTCCACTCTCAGGCAGCATATGCCATACTGGCCACCATTTTACGTTACGCGGCGATGATTTTCCGAGTTTTAATCGTTAGTCGTCGTTTCCTTCAACTCGATTTTCGCCGTCCGCGTAATAGAAGTATGGCTCCTCATTTTTCAGCAAGATCGTCTGAGAAAGAGAGTAGAGAGAAAGAGAAGAGAGAGAGAGAGAGAGGAGAAAGAGAGAGAGAGAGAGAGAGAGAGAGAGAGAGAGAGAGAGAGAGAGAGAGAAGAGAGAGAGAGAGAGAGAGAGAGAGAGAGAGAGAAGAGAGAGAGAGAGAGATAGAGAACATCGTGTTAATTAGGGTGTTATATACGGAATACCTGGTTTCTTCAAGTATTCCGCATATAACCACTCACCGTCATGCTCGCCCCACGGATTTCTCACAGACACCAAGCAGCAATGACGAGATTTCCAGAGCCCAGCTGGCATAAAAGCGAAGCGGCAAGCATCTTGACTGACACAATGTAGGTGAAGTTCGTGTATAGTTTTTGAAGTTAGGCACTCGCACGTGAAGTTTCGCAATGCAGTACACCAAGCATGATGTTATGTCATGCATATTGCTATGAGCACCTTTCTAGGGATAGCGACTGTGGCTGCGACTAATTAACTTCAAGAAAAAGGCTCCTCGGGAGTAATATGTCTGGAGACAATTATCATATTTGCCGCGATTAATTATGCATGCCACTGTTAACAACGGCTGTTGGCTAGATGGCCCACCGCATTGATCAGCAGGTAATTACCATACAAGTGATTCCCTGTCATAACTGGCTATCAGGGGCGACTGCAAACGGTGGCGGAAACATTGGCTCACCGGCATTACATGAACGTCTACGAAACAGATGTTTTCGTGCTAATATGGGAGGCAAAGGTCACTTTTCTGAGATTTTGCGGCTAGCATTCATACATTTATGCCGCCTCAACATGCTCGTCACCGGTCTAATAAAGGGAGGCCTTAGGTGTGGTCGTTACACACACAGTCTGCGCAGGTTATGTGGGGGCGATCGGACCCCCGAGTTATGAGCGGAACCTTACAGTCGTTCAGCACGCATGCCTCGAAATTTATCCCAGTAAATAGCCACCACCTGGCGCAAGGCTCCCCGGCATCACCACGTAACCCCACCCTCTCTCGTCACAGAATAATGCCGGAATCCCTCGTCGGCACGCCGGAATCCCCGTCGGCCTATTATCCTCAGTCGCCGGAATTCCTCATCTCTCTGAGGTGCGAACCTTGCCCCCGGAATCGCTGAAGTGATTCTAACAACGGACCGGATTCGCTGCCGCTGCTCAGGATCAGTTATTCGTGGCTATCTTAGCAAACCCCTTCTGTGGCCGGATGCCAACCCACCAACGGAAAAAAATCAACCAAATGTTCCGACAGCCCACCGCCCTGTTCCGACTTCCACCCTCTGGCAGTTGCAAGAAGGCAGCCGAAAAGCGAGTCTCACGTCTGCAAATCGCGAATCCATCAACGGTATCCTAGACGTGCTGCTGCTTTTATCACTAGTGGCCATCGACGTACGAAAATGCGTCCCACCTCATCTCTGAGTCGGCGAGAGATCGACCAACATCCAACGCTCCTTATTTCTATATTGGAATGTGGGACTTTTAAACCCACGGCTAGACAGCTGCCTACGTACCGCGAAGGACTTTCTCCATCGCTTCCCCCGCCGCGAGAGTCGTAACGCAAAGCATCTGTGACGCATTTTAGCCCCTGGCGACCAAAATCCTTTCACCATGCACGCGGGATATTCATAGTCGGTCCAAGCTGTACGAGTATATGAGCTACGCAAGATAATTGATTTGACGTATGAACGCAGGCCTGACTACAGCGGCGTCCTCTCTCATGGCACACCAATCAGGCCGCACATAACAATGATCGGCTATTTGCCTACAGGCTGTTCATTGAAACGCATAGAGGAATGCCTGGCAGGGTGTCGGCATCTGTACAACACACGTTAGCG